TCTTCACAATTTTAAATGGGAACAAAAATGTTCAATGCTGATGTCCAACGTAATGATAAATCATTAGTTAAAAAGATACTGGCATTTAAAAGCTAAACAATTTTAGAGACATAAATAGAATATAGAAGATCATTCCCTAGATACAGGTGAGAGTCTTGGTTAAGAGATTCAAAGCTAAGATTGTGATTCAAAGCAAATGTCTGTGCAAACCAGAAACTTTTCTGTTACTTATTAAGTAGCAGTAGTAGCAGGTAATAAGGCTTAAGTATTGATAGCTAATGTGTAAAAATATGAAGTTCTGTTATTCTAATTACTATTTGTTTTCCAACTGTTAAGGTATTTTCTTTTGCTTGATTAAAAAACCAAAAGCTTTATAAAACCAAACATGACAATTAACTTCTGCTAATTAACTTCCAGCTGCAATAACTTTAGGTTTTACAATGTCAACAAAGAAGTAGGAGATATCGACTGTCTTATTGTTCTATGTACATAGAAGAGTGGTAGGGCTGAATATTGATAGAACATGAGTAATATGTTGCCCTCGTGGCCTTCTTGTGTGCACTGTGTCACTGAAAATTCACTGGTTTGTGTGTTTGTGCATATGTGTATGTAACATCTGAAGGGACTTTTACAATACCTCTCTTCGCGAGTGAAATCTTTACGAATATCAATGTCTACTTCCACCCTGCATGTCTGATAGTGCTTTGTTACTCAAGAGGTAAAAGGGTAGAATAACTACAGCTTTTACTAAGTTTCTGGGTACTAGCAACTGTAAAATGGAGCTGTACCATTTGTTTGGTTTCTAAATGAGAGAAGGTTGATGTAGTCCCAAGTTGGACTAGATCACCCATTCTTTTCTTGAAAGCTAGAGCATGGCAGAGCATACTTTGAATTAAGGAATTTTTAATCCTTCTCTGCAGAGCAAACACTCCCTTTTTTTTCTGTTTTGGACCAATGAAGGAGGTAGCTCTGATAAAATCTTTCGCTTCTAGTAAAAGATACCAGCCTTGCTGAAGTCAAAACAGATTCTGCTAGGAGGCAAGAGCTCTAGTGGGTCCTGCTGAGCTTAGATAGCAAAGGTTTTCAGATGACCTTGTTGCTTCCTTATCAGTGCAACACTTCATGATTATGCATTTGGCACTAAAGGAAATACCTGGTAAAGGTAGGAACCACATGGTTCTGGAGTTCCTGCTCACTTCTGTCCAGTGGACTGGCAACTCCAGCAAGTATGGATTAATTTAAAGCACCCAGCTAAATTGTGACATATATTAGATACTGTAACAGTCAGCTTGAAAAACCGAGGCACAGTCAAATTGCTTAGGAAAAGTTTCAGTACATTTCCAATCTCCTGTTGCCTGTCTCTCTATTAATAAGCTAAGCAGCATGGCAGCCCTGCCATGGTGAAGCAAAGGTGTCTTGAATGATTCATTGCCATGTCATTGTTGACTGACAACTGTGTACATGCTCACATGTGTACCCATTCACATGTGTGTTGGAGCTTTTCCTTCTTCCTCAAATAGAAGAGGAACTGATTCTGATTGCAGGTTCCCTCTTCAACTCTGAATCTGAACAACTTGCTAAGTGCCAAATACAGTGAGGATAAGATAGGTTTCTCCATTGTGGATTTTGGGCATCTTGAAAGTATACATTCATCATGGCCTTGAGAAAGAAAGAACAAGTCTTCATAAGTAAGGAGTAACTTTCTTCCCACTTATATGTTGAGCAAAGATTGTCTGACCTTCCAATAAAGAAGCTGGTATTCTTGAGAAGAAAAAAAAAAGACATATTTGAGGCTTGTCAGCAAGTTTTTTTTCCCTGAGATGAAGAGTAGATTTGTACCGTGTTTTTCACCCACCTGGCTTGATAACAGTATTTTTCAAGAGGCACAGAAACTAGGCTCTTATATCAGTGAGTTCTGGGTACAGCGAACAGGCAGTCTGGTTTCCTTCCTTTCTGATCCTCTTCAGAAGTCTCTTTGGCAAGATATTCAAAGTAAAGGAATTGGTTTCCTACATTCATTTTGTGTTAAATGAAACAACCATGGAGATTGAGCGAAGGGCATTCAACTCATTATTTTTAAACCTGAAGAAGAAACTGGATTGGCATTCTCATTCGGCACCTTTGAAGTCCCTCAGTTGCTTTGAGTACTTTGAGACTCCCAGCTATTACGACTGAACCTGTCAGCAGTTTGAAAGATGAGGACTAGATCTATGCTTTCTCTAGTGAAGAAATCAGCTCGATAGTCACAGCACACTGGTGGCTCTAGGTGTCACAGGTGGACCTTCCTGAATTCTCGATTCACTATTTGTTTTTTCCTTTCTTGCAGTGCAGTAGCATTTATTTTTGCTGATAAGCTTTGGTGATATCAATATGCCATCTGCTATTACCAGCAGTCTTCAGTCCACCACATCATGGAATCAACACCACAAAATCGAATATGTGCTTTAAGCATGTCCTTTGAGCATTTTGGTGGCCTACTTCTCAGCTATTTACCATATTTTAATCAAATGATTAAAAATGATTTGATTTTTGGGTAATCTGTTTTGGGCAATCCTAACAAACATGCCCAGAGCAGCTTAAGTGAGGCTGCAAGGCAATAGCTTTGATGGTATGTGTTTGATAGCATGCTAATCAGTCTTCAGGTCTGATGTCTTACACTACCAAAGAGCCAAAGATGGTAAATCTGGAATCTGAGATATCTGGAAGTTGTCCAGATATTGCAGCTAAGAAAGATGATGACTACAGTATGTGTTGCTTTTGCTAGCAGTCTTTCATTTCAGGGGTGCTGCTTTTATCTCCTAAGGCTGCTCTGGCCTTCATCCTACCTGGGACTTTGTCATCATTAAAGGGATTCTGAGACACTCTCCTCCTTCAAATAGAAGAGTTTCTCTCCAAATATCACTGCTGCACTGTCGGTTTTTATTATTGGCCTGACATACTTTTCACCATAGCTGGAATAGCATCTCTGCTTTCTATGTACTGATGCTGAGAATTATTTGGCAGCGCAGTTCAAACAGTAATATGTTGAAGGTTCTCTTGGCTAGAATCCCTCAGCCTTAAAGTAGGCTTGTAGTGTTGGTTTAGGTCTGTATTTGTCAGCAATTTATCACGCCTAAGTCCCTGGCGTTTTTTATATGTGCCTGGTGTGCATGTTTAGCATTCTACAAGAGAGATGTCTAGAGACAAGCATAGGTATCTAAGGTTTTTTAATGCATGCAGACCACGTACATATACAGCAGTCTAGGCAACTAAATAACAAATAAGACAAAAGATGTGTTATCTACCGCTTTCCAGATGCCCAAGTTCTACTTTCACTGCCTGTGTCATGTTCTTTCTGGAATCCAGGATGTGGGAGCTCTCACAGACACCTGGAAAGTTTGTCACCTGGGGTAGCAACAAAGTTATAAAGTAAACACAGAAGTAAGATGCAAAAGTGGCAGTGATACTTCTGTTGAATGTTCTTGTTGCTGTCCAAGTCTCCCAGAGTGCATCACTGCTTATGGAATGGAACTCATTAATTTTCAGGTTTATTTTAAGTTTTTCTTGCAGCTGTCTCTTAGTTGCAGTAGCGATTTCTGTTTCATCATGCTGCCAACTGATAGGACAGAAGAAGAGAGCATAGGGAATACATTTTAGGAAGGTCAGGAATACTGATTATCTACCTACTGAGAGGGTTTTTTTTTTAAGTATTACCACTGCTATCTCTGAAGCAAAAGTAATAATCCTTCATATTTCAGTTTGGTCTAGTGAGGCAGGGGAAAAAGAGGATTGCTCTGATTAGGTGTAAGAAAAAGCTCTGAAAGATCTTGCAGTTGTGGGTTACACCTGAATGGGCAAAGAAAGGTGAGATCAAAGAGGAAAGATCTCTCAGAGAGATGGTGGCAGTGACTCTTGGTTCGCTTGTGAAATAGCACATAGAACTTGACCTACAGTGAGTTCCTTTTAGGTATCTTGTAGTGTTTTACTAACCTTGGTGTGTAGATTAAATCAGTCGAGAACCTTATTCACAATCAGGTCAACATCTGTACTGGTAACATCTGTCCTTTGCCCAGTGCAGATGGCTGGGTTGTTTGGTATTCACCTACCACCACATACTTGTCACAGCTGTAGTCTGTCTCTGTTCATTGTTAAACTGGGGTTAATTAAAACTGACAGCATAGAGATTATGTGAGGAAAAGTGTTTGTTTTCAGTATCTTGGGATTTTTACAGTGATGGGAGAAAGGAATGTAGATTTATCTTGAAACAAGCAAAGGCCTTTATTCCTCAAAATTTGCTTTTTCTCTTGCTAATTGTATAAAGAAGAAATTCTAAAAATTAGTAGAATTTTTTATGTTATTTTACTAAGACATCCTAAATATTTTTTGAGAATTAATGCTTTTTATGGTTTTTAGGCTAGTTTTTTAATAGCTTAGAAATCAATAATAAAACTGTATTCAGTGTGTATTGAATGGCATCGGAGTTGTGAATGTGCTGCTTGCATCTCTGTCTTTGAATTGCCTAAAGATGTTGATCAGTATCAGCAATATGGATTTTAGAGGATGGATTATTTATCCTGTTTCTTCCTGAACTTTGATGTCTGTGAATTGCTGTTATGTGTATTTATTATCTACATTGGCCTAGAAATCAGTAATCAGTACAGCAGCTGCTGGGAAAAAAAAACCCAACAGTTTTATTATGACTAATCAGACTGGTTTCTGACTCCATGTCAAATAATAATAATCAGAATTAACTCAGAACAGTACAGACAGAGATTTTGGGTAGAACAGAAGCATATAGTGGGTAGGGTTTTTTGTTGTTTTAGGGGGGTGCATTTCTACACAGTAGAACAATTAAGAACTATGGAAAATTATTAGATGACAAAGTGAGAAAAGAACATGGCGAATTCTCTCAAAATGTGAAGTTGTTACTGCTGAGCTATAGTTTGAAATGTTTTAACAACAACAAAAAAAAGACCATTGGACTAATTATCTCGTTTTCTTCTTTTCATTCTGATTTATAGAAAATTTCACCTTGGGTAGGTTTACGCAAGATCAACATCTCCTACTGGGGATGGGATGACATGTCTCCTTTTACCAATACAACTCTGCAGTGGCTTCCTGGAGAGCCAAATGACTCTGGCTTCTGTGCGTATCTGGAAAGAGCAGAGGTGGCAGGGCTGAAGGCGAATCCATGCACTGCAATGGCAGATGGTCTTGTGTGTGAAAAACCTGTCGGTAAGCAATCTCTTATAGTCAGTTACTGTCATGATTAGCAAGCTGTTTGGGTTTTCATTTGGTTGAGATTTTTGGGCAATTTAGATTAAATAATGACACAAAAGATATTCTTTAAAAATATGGAGCTTTAGTGTAGAAAATAAATAATATTCCTAAAGCAGCAAATACTGGTGTGTGAATTGGTTTACATGGCTTGGTTTACATCACACCAGAAGCCTTATAAGTTGCTTCTAAATCAGTAGTAGTCAGTGACAACAGTGATTGTAGTTTGAAAGTATCTGTGGAGATGTTCAACAAGGCTGATGTTTTCTTTCCGAACCTCACTGAGTATTATTCAACATTTTAGTAGTCTGAAAGGCTGACAAAGCCAAAATTCTTATTTCTGTCTTTTAGCTTTGTTTGTGTATGAAGAGACTATGGCATATAGTCACTTGACAGTTCAAATTAGCGTTTTCATGCTCTGATTGTTGTATGTTTCTCTTTGTAGCTGTGGTGTTGAGCATATGAAGTTCTTTAAATTTCCCCTTCAGGTTTGTTTTGTGCATTGTTTGTGCAAAACTGGAAAATAGCTGCATTGTTGGTGTGCTGGGAACACTGCCTATCAGTCTGATGGTGTTGCTGTGAAATTGTCCAAGTTGTTAACCTGCGTAACAGAAGTGCGATCCTACCAATTCTTTATTCTCTTAGAAGCAGTTCCAAACAGTAATGTCATTGCAAAGTATATATTGTAAAATTGTTGCTACTGCCATTTATATTTCCTAAAAATTGTATCTTTCACAATATTCTTAATATATCAGCAGATGAAGAGTGGTTTGAGAACTCGGCTGGTATTGAATATGAATCACTAATATATAAAACTATGTCAATATATAGGATGGCTTGATCCTGATGTTTCACAAGGCTCTTTTGCATGGAAAATACAGTGCTATGTACACTTATGTGTTCCTACCTAAGAATTACTATACTCTTGTACACTTAACAGTTCTATTTTAAATCAAAGCAGAAATTGGGAGTTAGGGTATAAAAGCTCTTTTTGTGCATTATGAATTTCTGAGATGACATAGACCATTAACCCAGTCAGAATGTGGTCTCTAATAGAGAAAAGCAAAGATCTCCAAACCTGAAAAACCCCAACCCTCCAGACCAAATCTGTTCTGCATTGAACAATGTTCCTTTTATTACTTTCCCTTTAGATTCTAGTGACCTTCTTATGTACAGTGTATGGCAAAATTTTAGGGGATAAGTCAGTCCTAAGTAGAATATTTTTGGTTTATACACTGTTAAACTAATGAGAACGATAGACCCAGAACTTCACTGTACTTGTTATAGGAGTTTGAGATGTATTTTGTCATGTATGTGCAAGTAAGCAACTAAGCTGATGTTACCAAGCAATGAATATTAAATTATTTAAGCATATAGATAAAATTGCTGTGAAAAGTTTCAAATGGACTCTTAGAGCTATAGTGTGACTTGCACTGAGTATTTCTTAATAATTTTATGAAACTTTATTATATTTATACACTGCAACAGAAGTTTGGATGAAAATATTTATGCCTATTTAAGGACACAACCACTTTCACTTTAACAAGAGCTGTTCTAATGGAACATAATCATTAAAGGAGATTGAACCTGTGCTCAAAATTATAAATGCTTGTGATTCTTTTCCAGTCAGTCCCAACCAGAATGCCAGACCCTGCAAAAAGCCATGCTCCTTGCGAACAACGTGTTCTAACTGCACAAGTAATGGTATGGAATGTATGTGGTGCAGCAGTACGAAACGATGTGTTGACTCAAACGCCTATATAATCTCCTTCCCATATGGACAGTGTCTAGAATGGCAAACTGCCACATGCTCCCGTGAGTATCTTAATGAACATTCGTCCTATTAAATATACTTCAGTGTTTTTTGCCACTCAAAAGAACATGTCTATGAGTAGGATTTAGTACATTCACTAAAGATAAAAATAATCTTAAATGAATGAATTACAGCTACTAACGTGAGCAACCAATACTCTGTATGTATTTCCTAGATACAGATAAAATGCCGGCAATTCTCTTCTGATGAAACATATTTAATCTTTTGAAACAGTAAAAAGTGCTTATTGTGTTCAGACAAACTAAGAATACCAGGATTGCTTGTATGACCAGTGTTAGGGTGTCAAACAATGTCCATGAGTTGGAACATAATACTATTAAAATTAGATAAATAACAGATAGACTTATACAACATTAAGTAATTAAACTATGATGAGGTGAATTCAGTGTTTTTAAGATTCTGATTTATTTTATCAGATTCAAAGTAGTACACTTTCCTATCATGCAAAAATGAAAACAATGTTATAATCATCATAGTAATAGTCTTGAATATTGTAACACAGATGTAAAACAAATGGTTTTGGTCTTTCTTAGATTCTTCTCACTTGCCAATGCTGATTATTAGCCTTTGCAGTTTGTCCTCTCCATGGAAATAGGAATTCTTTTAGGCCATCAGGCATGTAAAGGATGTGCAGGACACTTTTTTTGTCCTCTGTGATCAGAGCGGGTCAGGCTGTATAAATGTTCAAGGCTGCTCATTTCATCCTTTTGAGATAAAACGCAGGTGATTTCTTACTTTGTCAAGCAGTAAACGTACTTCCCAGATGTCCCCTTTGGAAGCACATTTCATCAGCAGTTGATACAATGCTTCTTTAGGAGAATAAGAAACTTACTTACTGTACCTCTTTCAGTGTACCATTCAGCTAGAGTTACTTCTTTCCAAGTCTGTAGTGACTGGACCTGTTAAGTTCAGCACCGTGCACTTCCAGTATATATATCAGTGCCATGATTCATGTAGATCCTGGAGCAAGCTGCCTGGTGCCTTAGACTCTTGTCTCAGTCATGGTTTGTTTAGAACGATTTTTAAGTCACCTTCCTGCAGAAGACTGGTTCTTAGTATTTTTACCATCCTTCAAGATTTGATTCAAATGTTTTTTATCTGTCCAGTGGGACCCAAACTTAATATATAGGACTTCTGAAGCGTGCTGTTGAACTCTCATTGTCGCTTTTCTCTGTGAGATTGTTTCTCTACTTACTTCTATCTTCCTTTCCCTTTTTTGATAACAACATCTCTGGAACATTTTATTTCTGAATATGATGTGGCAGGATTAATGGTGTTGACAACAAGAAGCAACTTGCTTCAGGGTCATAATTAGATCATGATTCCATTTAATAGATTATGGATACAAATACAAAATAATACAAAAGGTAGTTACTTGCTTTCACCTAAGTGTCAGGAAAATATTAAGTAAGATTCTGCCATATCTGTAATAGGAACCATTTATATATTCCTATTTTTGGAGAAAAGAATGGCTATATGTACAAGCCTCCTACCTGTATCTGGGTTAAAGGAAAATAAGGCATAGGAAAATTTTTCTTTCAGGTAAAACTGGCCAAGAGCCTTTATTCCTCTTAACTGAGATTCCTTCTTCTTCCCTAGTAATTGTATAATACAATGAAGCAGTACAATGTTGCTCTCTTCTGCTAAATTTTATGCTTAGTTTGTAAATTTCTGATGTTAATAAAGATTCTAGTGTGCAGGTTCAATGTGGACTAAAAGTAGGGTTTACATGTTCCTTGAGCCCTTATGTCCTCTAAACCCAGCCGTCAGCCCATGTTTGGTCTAAAAATAAAGAAATAATAGGGCAGTTAATCTCTTGTCCCATATACTTAGGACAATAATACCATAATTAGATAAAGTTTTCTTGCTCATAAGAGTTCAATGATCCTTTTTTGCACTCCAGTAAGGACTCAAGTTTGCAACTTCTAGAATAATGATAATGTGTTGTGGCATAAGTAGATTGAAACTTTGGAGATAATATTGACAGAACCCATATGAATGAAGTTAACTTTTTAAAATAGTGTGTATTATGTCAGCCTGAACTTTTAATTCTGTTTTTGTTTGCACATCATGCAGATTGAGTTTATTTGCAGAAGAAATTGTTCTTAATGTAATTGACACTTTTGTCAGCTCTGTAAAAGTTTATATTAAATAGGGCAAATGGGATTTGCTATACACTAGTTCATCATTATGTAAAGGCAGTTTTGTATGAAAATTTATATTCTATTCAACAAATTGAAACCAAACAAACATAAACCCACAATTATGTGTCCTTAAGCAGGTGATTTTTTTCAGAGTTTTAAAGTTTTAGATATTTTGCATTTAACCAAGAAAATGATTGTCCAAATGAAAGATAGTTCAGACATTGCTTCACTATTAATGACTTGAAAACTTTATCGGATAGATATAACATTATTGCTGCTGAGGTAATGAAGTATTAGGTGGATTATTTTATCAAGGGGTAGTGTTTCTACTTACTTGAAGAACAGAATGTTACTATACCTTTAAAAAAACACAACTGTTTTAACAACTTTTTACTTTGAATGATTAATGAGGTTTTGGATGTTTTACTCAGAATGAAAGAAAAATTTCACACAAGCATGTATGATTTCAAAGAAAAAATATAACAGCTGAGAACTTCACATTTATTTTCACAACTTGGCATTAAAATGAAGACCGCTGTTTTATTGGTGACATTTTGTCATTTTAATACCTGCTTGCCAAAAAGTTGCATTCCGCTTTTTCCCCACATCTTCCATCCATTATGGCTTTTGATTCAATAGCTGACAGTTGAGCAATCTTGGACCTCCTCTAGAATTTTAAAGCAGGAAAAAAAAATTCTGCTTGAATGTTCTCTGCTTCCATAAACAATAACTTCTCTGCTCTCCTCAGCGTTCCGGCTGAATGCCACTACAGAGATTATTTGAGGATTTTCACTTTTGGTTCTGTCTTATCTTCTCTGAAGATGATGCAGCTGATACTTCAGAGCTGTTTTCTCCTAGCTTCATAAATAACAGCATGAGAATTGTTTGGATTACTAACAGTGCATCTCTGAAAGGCCAAGCCAGCCAGTACAGAATGGTGGTCTTTATTTTCCTGTTGATCTTCCAATGTATTCAAAACAAAATTTGTACCATTCAGCTTCAGGTCTGACACAAAACTGATCTTTCACATGATTGATGGTTTGTTTTTTTTTTTTTTTTTCTATATTTGGTTAACTTGAAACACTTCCTCCTATTTGAATTCTTCCAAGTCTAATGATACAAGAGCTCATGCTCCACCTTTCTGCACTGTAGAATTCCTTTTGAGATCACATTCAGGTTCTTAACTGCCTGTTGTCTTGATACCTGCATGTATCTTTAAACTGCTGGAGTATTTTTTCTCTGACAACTTTCATTAATTTTAAACAATTTTAATAATTGTTGAAGTCCCAGTAGCTACTGATATTCTGCTGTCAGTTGATTTAACTGGAAGCAAAATTGATGTGCTTAGTATATACCCCTTATAGCGTGGATTCAGGTATTGCCTTTATGGAGTTGAGTGGTCCAGGTAGCTAAGAACATTAATGGATATAGTGTCCTGGCTGCAACTGAGCCAAATTGAGAGGTTACACTCAGATAGAAGCCATTTGAATGTTCTCCAAAGAAAACCTCACATATTTTTAAACTCTTTTCTTCCTGGCAGGATCTTCCTGCAGTTCGTGTATGCTTTTAAAATTTATTTTCGTAAGTGTCCACAGACATAATGTGACAAGACCCAGGACTCATAGTGATCAATGTTCAAATGATTCCAATGTTCATTTGATTGAGTGTTCCAGCATTAATTTAAAAAACTTTAAGATGTAGCAGAAAGAGCTCAAATGAACTTGTGAACCCTAATGGTGTTCCTGAAGATACTAAATTGTTAATTTCTTATTAATAAGAAATAGCAGTAACTTCAGTATAGTAATTTTATTTGGTTCTAAACAGGCTTGAAATATGAGGCAGACCATTTCATGAGAAATCAAATAATTTAAACATAGGAGAATATAAAAGATCTAGGGGAGATTTGATTTTTAGTATGCAAATTAAAATGCTGACTTACTCTAACAGATGAAACTCTTAAGGTATAGTTCAATTAAATGGAATGGGTTTGTGTCTTGTAGCTTGAGATCCTTAAATTTTGGGAAGATGTGTAGTATGTTAACTTGTTTCAGAAGTTCTATATGAGAAAATTGGGTGGCATTTGTAAATGAATTTGTAGGTGTGATCCCCAGATACTTTGTACCCCCAAAAAAATTTAGTTTGAATTATGGGTTTAAACGTAATTAGGGGAAGTTCAGGTTAGGTATAAGGAAGAAGTTCTTTACTGTGAGGGTGGTGAGGCACTGGAACAGGTTGCTTAAAGAAGTCGTAAGTGTTCCATCCTTAGCAGTGTTCAAGGCCAGGTTGGACAGAGTCTTGGGTGACATGGTCTAGTATGAAGCATCCCTGCCCATGGCAGGGGTTTTGGAACTGTATGGTCTTAAGGTCCTTTCCAACCCAAACCATTCTGTGATGCTATGAACTATCACAATTTTTGAATTATTCTTATCACTCTTATTTGTATTATTGACCTTGTCTAGATTTCTAGTTTTCCTGTGGGAAGGGTTGCTTTTGTCAATAAAACTAGTAATATCTGCATACCAAAACATATATTCATACTAAGAACATAACATATATTTTATCATGAGATTTAATGAAGATATGTAGTATTATTGTTCTGCTTCGTTATTTTTGTTGATTTGAAGTCTTTGTTTCTGCATTGTGGTGTAATGAAAACCTGTGTTTTATGATCTTTGAAGAAGTGCAACTTTTAAAGAAAATGATAATACTCTTACTACTATTACCAAAATCCCCTCTTGCATTAACAATATATTCCCTGTAATACAGCTCAAAACTGCTCTGGACTGAGGACGTGTGGACAGTGTTTGGAACAACCCGGGTGTGGATGGTGTAATGATCCCAGTAACACTGGAAAAGGGCAATGTTTGGAAGGATCATCAAGAGGCCCAATGAAGGCTGTAGGCATGCACTCTAATGAAATGCTGCTTGATGCTAGTCTTTGTCCAAAAGAGAAAAACTATGAGTGGTCTTTTATCCAGTGTCCAGGTAAGGCCTGCTTCCATTCTTTCTTTCATATGAAATAAGAAATGTTTCTCTGTTTAAGTCTGCTAAGTTGCCATAATTATTTTGAGTAATACAAATAGCATTTGCATGAGGGATTTGTTTTTCCAGAATATTTCCTAAATATAGAGTTTGTTAGCCTCCGTTTACTGAACACAACTGTGCTTCCTGTCATGCAGGTTTACATGTGAAATTTAGTGCAAATATTTTAATCAAAACTGCTAATTTATTTTTTTGTAAATAACTTTCCACACATCACATCCTTCTACTTTTTCAAATCCAACAGTATGACTTTGCTCCAGCTTTTGCTTTCTTCTGGCCTCTGTATCCATCAGAGAAGAATTTACCTAGGGAGAAATTATCTATAAGCAACTGATTAATCTACTGCTGATGGCCAGGAGCCATGAGCTTCCTGCATCCCTGCTGCTCATGCAGAAGTCCAGTTGGCTGTGAGAACAGGGTGCTGGAAGTCTCTGAGCTATGCCTCTAGTCTGCCTCTTTCACATTTGGTGTAAATAGAATGTATGTTTTTATCATCCTAAAGACATCTTTGAAGTCTAAATTTAAGCCACACTGATACGATTATACTATTTTAATCATTGAAAAGTAAGCAAGATGTCAGGTGCTTTATGAGGGTGGAAGCTGAGCTGGTAAAGCGCAGATCCTGAAAGCAGCGTGAGAAAGCAGCAGCATAGTAGTGCAGGCAAAAGAAAAGCCCACTGGGGAGTTTGACAGACCTGCAGTGGTAATTTACAATAAATAACACCATTTAAAAACTTTTTTTTTAGAATAAATGGTGTAATTGTGCTAAAGGCATTTTTCCAGCAAGTGTTCCTACTGCTGATAACTTTGGAAGCTGGAGCTTCTCTAGGATCAGAACTTTTGTAGGTACATGCAGCTACGTTTGTTTGCTCTCCTGGGTACTTTTTTCATGAGTATATTCTCTATGTGTGTGTGCATATGTGTATGTATGTGCTAATACATATATTTGTATGTAACTGTGTATATTACTATATTATTTGGAAAGCAGAATTTTTTTTGGTAACTTTTTTTTTTAATGCAGACATAAAGAGTAGATATTTTGTAAAGTTTTAGAATGATGAAGTGAAATGTAAAGCCAGGTGACACTGTTCAACGGTCTAAATTAAAACCTCCAAACTATCTAATACCATTTCCTGAACACAGAACCCTCTAGTAAATTCCTGGAAATAGGAATACATTTCCGTGTAATACATTACATTGTTTTTAGTAAGTGCAGTTATTAGACTTTCACTGCAATACATAGTATCTACCATTAGTGAAATTATAAAGAATGATATATTGCTTGTCTAAAATGTTTGATGTAGAAGATTTCACCCTTTTATTAGTTTAATATTTATTCTTCATGGATAAAATTCTCTAATCATTCTGTGTTCTAAGCAAGAATTCTCTGAAGTTCCACTTTAGTTTTTAAAACTCCACTAGTTCTGAACTTAAGAGGCAAATTAAATTTAATTGGTACAGGCTGTAGGGGTTTTCTTAAACTTTCCATTTTCTTAAAATACTGTCTGTAATGGATTATATTTACACAGTTTATTCTTAGCACAGCAACCATTTGCTGTTCTTGAAATAAGGTAGAATTGATATGAAGGCTATATAATCCTATGGAGCAGGTTTTAGTTTCAATGAAAATAAAAATAAATAGGTTATAGTATGTAGCTTAAAGATTATTCTGTCACACTGATGAATAGTTGGCTAAACCATTCATGTTCATTCATGTATGCACTTGGTTTTCCTTGTAGATCGTATCCATGGTCATTATAGCGCCTTTGGGCAGTTGTGTTGGTTTTAAGTATTTTAAATTCATTCTCATTCTCTGTTCAAATCTTTAAAACTAATATTCATCAGGTAGCCTAGAAAAATGTTTATTTTTGTCGCTGGTCATTTTGAAATCAATATTCCTCAAAGCAGCTATCATAGTATTTCTTTTGATACGCATACCTAGTTTTATCAGATTTGTATTTTAACCGAACTACTGCTAGAAATGAATTGGCAAATACATATATTAAAAGAAGAAAAATAAATAATGTTGGCATTTCGTCTCACAAGAGCAACAGTTTAGGTAGGATGCAAGCCCAAGTTTTTCTTTAAAGTCTAAATTTCTCTGAAAAGCATTGTGAACCAATTATAACTAGTTTGTTTAAAACTAGATGAAGTATCTTTACACTAAACCCAGAGTGTAATGCAGGCATGCATTTTATATATTTTCCTGTTATTAAATATTTTCTTAAAGCTAGAATTATCAACAATTTTCAGCATCACTAACCATTTCAACTGAGAGGTCAAAAGCAAATTAGACGTAAAATTGCTTATATCCTGGGCAGTCTCACTGAAGATTCAGCTAAATCACGTTTGCATGTGTGAGGAAAATAACTCTGTTGCTACGAGTGATGTACATTAAAATCACTTAAAGAAAAAATTACTTCTAAAAATTTATATCCTAGTTCTTATTCAAATCATCATTAGTGTCTCATTATTTTAATTACAATTTTAATTGTTTAATACTGATGTCTCCTGTTTGATTGCAGTCGTCTGCATCGTAGGAAGTTGTTGAACTGTGCAATTCTTCTGGCTTTTCACTTTTTTCAATGAGATGCTTATTTTTAGGAAAACCAGCAAATACATAATATCACTTTTGAAGTGGTATGCTGCATCAGTCATAGATTGCTTTGGTTCTTATTGTATATATACTTTGGAATTGGAATTAAAAACTTTTCTGTTTTCTTTGCCTTAAATTGTAAGAATTAAGAGCTATCAAATACAACAGGTATGCAGGTATAATATAGGTATAATATAACTTGCAGCAAACTAGAATTCACAATAAAAAATTGATTAATTAAGGTCGCTTTCGCTATCCTTTAAATAACACAAAAATTCAGGAATACAAACCAAAGCATTAGGAAGCATAGGAAATGTTTAAATCAGTGACCCACTAATTAGAATATCAGAATGAAACATTTTTTCTGCATTATGATCCAGTCTTAATTAAGCAGTCTTACTGTACCTTAATAGAACATCTATTTAATGCACTGTCTATTTTCTTTTGGTTTATTATACTGCATTTTTTAAAAACATTTGCTTCAAGTAATTTTAAACCCAAAATGGAACTGCAGTTCATGGTATTTTTGTGTAGCTCTTTCTTAAAAGGTAACAAACCACAGAATGGTGAACTGCTGGAGGAAGACACCACAAAGTCATCTATAAATCAAGAATTCTTAGGAAGAATAAAACTTGTAATTTCTAAAAAGATTTAGTCAGGACAGTGAGAAAACTTTCTAGTAGTACAGAAGTGTTTGATACTTGTTTACAAGATTCTACAGGCATAGCTACAGAAGGAAGAGTTTGTAAACTTGGGAGGTTTAATGGTTTATGAGTCAGGCCTGGCAATGGCTATTAATCTGTTGAGTTACTAAATTCTAAAACAGCTCAAAAAACATTTAAATCATGCAGTGACAATATAATATTTTTATTTTTTTTCTTAGCTAAGACACCAGTCACTGTGACACTTAGATTAAAAATCCAATTTTAAACCCCCCACCATGATCTTGCTGAGATATAGCTGTCCTCTGCTGAGTGTTAAATATCCTTCGCCAGTGAGGGATCGACAGGTTTGACATAGTCTGACATTGGACAAGCTGCTGTAATTGACAGATTGCTAATCTACTGAGCACTAGGAGCTCTGGGGTCCCACTCTAAGGAGAGGTCATCCTTCAGAATCTTATGGTTGTTCAGCTGAGTTCTGGCAGCAGGATTGATGACTCTGGCAGAATTCACATTGTGATTTTTGCTGCAGTAGTGGTCAGTAGTTTTAATGAGTTTCTCCAAAACATGGAGCACTGGAACACAGGTGTGGTGCCAGATCAGTGCTTTATAGTGGTTGTGTTTGACAAAAAGCAATTTTATGTTTCTAAGGTCTGGTATAAAAAACATATGTCAATGGGAGTCCAGTTTTTTTTTCTTTCACCCAAGTCAACTGCAGTGAGGAGGGACTGGAGCTGTTTGATGTGGTCCTCATGTCCTTAAAACCCCATAGTGTTCTAGTTAGTGCCAAAGCTAATGTGAGGGTCAGAAGTGTTAAAAATTAGACTATCTTTAGTTAATTTTTGTAAGTTCTTTCTCCCCAGTAGATATAAGGTTGAATGTGAGTTGTTCATGTTCTCCATCACAGTAGACTTTCAAATGCTTCACAGCAGATTGCATATAGGTATGGAGGTTTCGATCTTGTCTCAGTTGGTGACTTACTGCCTCTTAAAAGGTTTCCTGAGTGACCAGGCAGCATTTTAAAGCTATGAGGATTGGATTTAGTTACTCAAAAATGGCAAAAAAAAAAGACTTTCTCACACACCTCAATCCCTCATGTCGCTAAATAGTTAGCTTTGGTGGTCTTTGGTCTGAATTCTTGTCTTATCACAGTATTACTTTAAAGAGATTCTGTTTGAAAATACAATTATATAGGCTGGATTAAAGTTCTCAGAATTACATTCTATGGTAATTATGTAATAACATAGGAAAGACTTTGTTCCCAAGAGCAATTTCTAAATGGCTTTTTTAATGTTATATTCTAGCTTGCCAGTGTAATGGCCACAGCACCTGCGTCAACAGTAATGTCTGTGATCAATGTAAAAACTTAACAACAGGAAAACAATGTGAAACATGCATGCCAGGGTATTATGGAGATCCCACAAATGGAGGACAGTGTACAGGTGAGTTGTTCTGGGGGGAAAAAAAAGTAGTTGAAATGACATTTTATGTAATGTGAATTTAACTTCTTAAATGTAACGTGAAATTAAGTTTTCTTTTAAAGGTTAAATGTTTATTCATTTTGCAGTTGTTTTTTGGTCTGGATACTCTTAAGAACAAGGTGGTAATTTAAAGATTCTCTCCTCGTTAGGGAAAGGAGGAGAAAGAAACTGTCTTGTGGGAGCAACACCTTAAATCCTGATATTTCAGAGAGGCATCATTTAATTCCATGTAAACAATAGTATTAAAGGCAGCGAGAAGGTACTTATAAATGAAGTTCAGTATCTACCAATAAATCTGTATAGTTCAGACAGAAAAGCCTGGAACACTTAAGGATTCTAAGGTACCCTAACCTATCCAATCTGTTTTTGTAATTGCTGCATTGCTTTGGAGGATTCTCCTTGAAGTGAGAGAGAGAATGAAGTCCAATACTCCAGGTGGTTTATGTATATTGCAACAGGGTGATTTTAAAGCTAACAGTAACCCCTTCCCTTGTAGCTAAATATAATAGGGGAATGAGAGATATTAAATATGAGAAGTCATTAAGGTGGTTGAGATTGAATCTAGGAGGGTGCTAGAAAACTTTTTCTCTTTACTTTCTTTATTATTGATGTTTCTTTAACTAGACCTTTGCTTCTCAAGGAATATTTATTCATTTCACTTGTTATTCAGCACTTCAACATGCAGTAGTCAATGCATGAAGCTGCACATCTGGTAAACTCAAGCACAATATGTAGAAAGTGTGTTCAAGGGGATGGAAAGATTAATGTCTACCCTTATTGACAATTGAACATTTCACTGGCTCTTTATGATGCTTTAAATAATTCTTAATAGTTGTCTTATTTCCTAAAGTTGACAAAATGTTCTTTTGCTGTCTATATCACCTTTATGGCAAAATGATGTATTAATATAACTTTTCTTCTTCAGGGATACATTAGCTATCAACCAAATAAGCATTCCATCACCTTTAGTGAATTATGTGTGGTGCAGTAATGGCTAAGATCAATTTATAAGACCAGTAAAATTATGAATTTTATTACTTGTTTTTTCAACCCTAGTCTGTAAGAATACGTAATTTTATTGGAAGGCATGATTTTAACAGGACCTATTTAGGCTAAGGAATGCTTTAAAAAATAAACATGATAATTATTTTGAGTCTTCATTTGCATTGGTATATTGTGTTTTGTAGTCCTGAGCCCATAAATCTGTTTAAGTCTCTAGGACATTTTGATGAATGTAGGTACTATGTACTGTTAGATTTTCCTTCAGTATCACCATTTTTGTTCCTTGGAGCTCCTGAGTTATTCTTTTTTGAGGGTCAAAATTGAAAACTTTTTAAAGGAAGGAGAGGATAATGACTTTAACTCTTAAAGCACATCTGTGTAGTATTCTTCATGTAACAAGTTACTATAGTTACATGAGTGTAACTTGGTTATGAATTAGTGAACAGTTGAAGCTGGATAAACAGGTTGTACTTGAATTCTAGAGTTGAGAGGTTAAGTGGTGCACACTAAGAGGAAAAATTAAGAATTATTACCTTATAATGTACTCATGATATATGACAACAAGTATTTTTCCCAGTGTCCTGACAAAAGTACTTAAGTTTTCAGTACACTTCTTGAGTATTCTGCTGTTGTGATATATGTACTTATAGATAAAATCTGACCTCTCAACTTAGTTTAACTGTTGGCAATATAGTTTAAAAAGATTTGCAAATAAAATTACCTTTTCTAGGCTGGATTATCCTTTGTTGTTCCTTTGATCCCTGATGATCTCAAAAGGAAGGGGAAGGAGATGCATAGTGAGTCTTTCAGTCCTTGGAAAACTTTTATTCCTTCACTAGTTCTAATTCTTTCCTAAATCCTTCCTGTTTATACTTCTAGGTCACTCAAAAAGCTCTGAAAGAAGCTGACTGTCCACCCCTGAGTGATCAAATCTTTTCTGACTTTTGTCTGGGGATGGGAATTCTGCACAACTATAACTGTTTTCTTTATTCTACTCAGGGAATAATGATGCCTTTACAGCTGTCATCAGATAACTGATACACTCATAGTGGTATTGCATAGTGTTACACTATCAAATTACTGGGGGATGTGTAACAGTTGTTATAGGAAAAAGATGTAATTCGTGTTTCAGGTGTTGAATAGTTGTTATTAAAGAACAGATAAAACATATTGACTTTTCTGGATTTCTACTCACTATAATTGCTGACATTTCAATAGCTTTAAAATAAATCTAAGGATTTGCTTTGCATCCTGATATGATGCAGGCTTAGGAGATATGACAAACCAAAAAGAAGGACAAAGAAAAGATGGCAGCATAATATCAGGCTTCAAATATGTGAAAGGAAGCTGAAAAGAGTATGATAAAGTGCCTTCTCCCATGCTTCCATTTTGGTTGAGAAGGAAGTAATGGGATTAGCTTACGATGAGAAATACTAAGATGGAATACAAGGAAAACTTCCTACTAGTTAAATGATAAAATAGATTGCCTAAAAAGGCCTATGAAATCTGCTTTGTCATCTACACCATATTTTTAAAATCTTCAAACTTCCCCAGCTTTAGAAAAGGGCAGTGGACTAAATGATTCCACGTGTTCTTCTCTAGTTCTAATTTTCAGAAGATTCTTGGAGTCTGAGATCTAGAATGCAGGGAGGCTTTGAGTAAAGATAAATATTCCTATTATATAAAACAAATGATCTATGTATAGCAAAATGACCGTGGATATTTACCATACTATGAGTGTTTAATAAAGAAGTTCCTAAGTCATACATACTACTTATTTTGGAATCTGTAGCATTTTTGTTATGGTGGTGTTAAAGCTTTCCATCTAAACCAGGTTTACTCTGTGATTGATGCTCTAGTTTATTTTTCCTGTCAGAAGTGTGGTATATCAGTTGCTGAGGGGCAATATTTTGACAATGATCGTATTTCTTACAATTAACTGTTGAATTTTTTTTTTTTTCTTAGAAAAGCATGCTTAATACTAATTATTCATTTAAATTCTGCCACTTGGAGTAATAAGAGTTAGTTTGTATTCTTGGTGTATACATGCTCTTTATGTTCAGTAATCCTAACATGTGGCTTGCAGGGAAGATGTATACACTCCTTCAATACTTTATGACATTTCATTGTACACGTATCTAGTTTGAATTACTTTATTTGATATATTGCTGCATTCTATACAAAAATCAGTAATAAATTGCAAAAGTCTTTTATGTTAAAGTTATGTGATTGTAATTTATTACAGTTAACTGTTCTTAATACTAATTGAAAATGGTTTCAGGTAGTTATGATGACTGTGACTTGAAACAGGTAGCTAAAATATAAAACAAAATTATAGGTTTTTTTACCTTCTATTAGTGTATATTTTTAGCTACACAAAACGATTTGCATTCTTTGTTGGAAATAAACGATACACAGTGCACAAGTTAGTAAGTCCAGGCCCTGTGTGTATGCTTAACAGTTGTAAGCTAAAGCCCTTGTACGGCAAAGTGTAAAGTGATAGTACCATCAAAGTTACCGCATAAAATTACAGCATCCTTTTTAAGAGTTGGCTCAACATGCAAGAAAATAAGAGGGAAGCCAGAGGTGAATTCAGAACATGGGGGGAGAGAGTGCTGTAGCAAGGAACAGGTTTTGTGTTCCAGACCAAGCTCCAGTTATGTTGTGGAACAACACCATCAAACTTTTCTCTGATTGACCTTGAGTGCAAATGCATGAATGGCCTTGGACTGCTAAATGCAGTGCTGTCAGTCTGTGCCAGAAATATCTAAGGATTCAAACCCTCTAGTGATTTAACAGAATAAGACAGGCTCGCACTTGTGTTGTGATGAGGCTTAGGTGAGAGATGCACAGCTCAGCCTTGTTTGCTTCTGAGCAGGTAAAGCTATCCAGATGCAGGAAATGTAGGAAGCCTTATAGTTTGACATGCTGAACAGTTGTAGGGCAGATACTCCAAATCACTTTGATGTTGGTTGTTGTGGGTTTTTTCTTTTGGGTTGGTTTTTTTTTATTTTTTATTCTGCTCAAGTCCCTTTTGGGGTACAGTTTTGAAGGCATGAATATAAAAATTCAGTAGTATAACATTCTTCATTAAATATTGATGGATTTTTGGAAATAAAACAGCTCTGTAGATGGGAACAGATACTGACTTGCTGTCTTGATGGTTTCTCTTGGCGTTATATATTCTTCAACTCTTGTACTGTCACGTGCTGCATGTCTGGAAAATATGCAATGTTTTTATGATATTCTAGTAAAAAGAGTTATATGTGTAGTGCAGACTGCAGCACAAAGTAATAGGAGAATACAATATGGAAGATTGCTTGGAACACTTCTGTGTCACCTTGGCATCATTTTTTAGTGTTATTTTCAAACTTATTAATCATCTACTTAGTTGTCAATGTTAAAATTATTCTAGCTACATATCATGTCATTTTCTTTATGCATGGTATTTTTAACACGAAGTCTTAGAATGTATGAGATGCCATGAGAGAATTCTGTACAGTCACTTAAGACATACTGTGAATGTATAATACCCTCAATAATAACAGAACGTAAGCACTTTGCTGCCTTGCTGTTTTTTTTGTAAAGTGATAATATCTCAAACAGCATTCAGTTTTCCTATAATTGTACTACCCATGCTGTTGCTTGGGTAAAGTAGCAGTAAAGTGTGAGTAGGAGTAAAACTGTGAGTACCAGCAACACAGGAGCATTGTGTTTTAACTTGCACCACTAGCTTTCTAAGCAGGCTTAAAAGGTATGGCATTTAAAAAAGTGACCATTCTGTAAAAGCCTCCTCCCAGCTAGGCTGTATGGGTGAAGCTTTTTAAGCAAGTCTGTAGCATTTCTATTGTTTTTATAGATTTGTCCCCTTCTTTGCTATCACACAGCGGGATATTACCGATAGTAAAGGCAACAGCTTCCCCCTACATTTGATTTGTAATCGTTCTGTTTGAAAATCT